ACCTCAGGGGAACTGAAAATGTCTGTTCTCTGTCTTACTTATCACTTGCACAAACTCTTTCTCAGAGCATGAGACTACTTCACAAGTTGTACTCTGTATGGACCAAACATTACATGTTTGGGAGACAAGCTCTGTCCATTTCTCTATATGTGTAAGCAGTAGTGTGTCCATCTCCATCATTCAAACAATAGCTTCTCTTTTCCCAGCAGCCACAGCTGCTGTTGAGAGAAGGATGCTGAGGCCAAATAAAAGGGCATGCTTACAGCTCTCACAAATCTGAGGATGTGTGGCAGTCTTGGCTTAGGGAAAAATCATGCAGCAATTCCACAGTGTTTTCCTACTTCCTTGGTGTCAGGAACAAGTCTGTCTCAGGGTAAGAGTATTCAGACCAGAAAAGCTAAGCTGCCTGGACAGTGTTTTCTTTAAGAAACATTCTTGCAACAGTGGGAATAGCTTTTGAGCACTTGCTCCACCATACTGGCTTTATGTTGACTTTTGACTAAAATAACTAAACTGGTTTAATATTGCCGCAGAACCTTATGATCATTCAGGACTTGCTAACTCACAGTGTCAGGGACAGAATTTGTTATGTTAAAGGGTCTTGTACCAACCAAATTGAGGGGTTTCTATTTTGGCATTTGATGACGGTGTTGCCTTTTTTTCCTCTTGATACTCTTTACTTACTATGCTCCTATGATCATGTTGGCTTCAAATTCTGAATAAAACTCTAGTGCAGTTTCATGTTAATTCATCTGATATCTGGCCCTCGATGAAGCTGATCCCCTTTCCTTTTTGACTCTTAGTTTTTATACCTTTCCACCCTGAATGCTTTATTTTGTAATTGAACAGTAGAGATGTAGCGGTTTAATTTGTTAATTAAGTGAAAATCTGTCCCTCATTTCAGGGTTGATTTTTCCCTGTATCAGGTGGAGGAACCAATTCTCATGGTACCTCATAGTAACTGCTGGACAGAGGGAAGCAGTGGGAGCATTTGCTCTTTGGGATAATCTTTCACTTTGGTGCAGCCAACTCCCTCCCTGGCTTACCTGTTTTGGGGAACTGGGCACCAGTGTGATGCCCAGCTCTGTGTGGTGTGGTTTTTTGTAATACTGCCAGGAGAGTGGATTGCTGCTGGACAGAAAGGAGCTCATGTTTTCATACCCTTCCAGCATTCCTGTTATTTGTATTGCCACACGCCCATCGCCAGGCTTCTGCTAGGCAAATTCCTGCTGCCACTGGGAGGCAAGTGCAGTGCTGAGGTCAAGTGTGCAGAGACCCAGGGAGGATGGAAAGTCAGGAACTCTGTGTAATAACCCATTTGTACTTCAGTTTAGAATGGTGCTGTTTCTGGCCTGCGTGAGGCTCTCTTTAAAGAAGCAATCTGATACAAGTAAAGTCTCTTTGCAACAAAGAAATGCTTTTGCCTGATTGCTTTCAGTTCTGGTTTGATTTTGTAGTCTTGCTTTTTCTACAGACACCTATAGGAAATGGGGCTGTGGTTTGACTAGGGAGGAATGCCAGAAAATAAAAAGGGGTTGAGAATGTGGAGGGATGATGATTGTTATGATTATTATTAAGTTTATTTTTGCTTCTTGCTGTGGGTCTAGTATAGCCCTGAAATCTGATGTGTCTTAAAGTAAAATAAAAAAGTGAGAGCAATTACCTGGTTTTGGTAGCATGGCAACATTTCTGGAGAGATTCTCTGAAGTATTCCCAGTGGATATGCACAATTAAGGGAAGTAAGTAGTCTGGGATAGAATATATAATCTACATAGTGACTTCTAGAATAGAAAGCCTCTAAGTAGACAGGTGATTACTGTGTGCATCACAGGAGAAGGAGGACTGTATGAAAGCTATTTATGCAATATACATATTCCCTGTCTGAAAGCTAAGTGAGCTTATGCCTGGGAGCTACAATAACAAAACAAACAGATGAGATTTCTTTTTAACTTTAAAATAATACAACTGCTGCCTCCAGTCAGTGTGAGGATGAATGACTTCTCTTTTGTGATCTGTATGCTGGATTAATGCAGTATATTTTATTTGGGTTGCTTTCTGAACTGTTTCTTGATGACTGGCTCAAGTGTGGTATATGACTATACTCTGCTTGTTACCCCAAATATGAAGGGATAGCTGTACTCTGGAAGTCTTAAGAAGCTGTGCTTTGCTGAACATGTTGTTTTCCTGTGTACATGTGAAAAAATTATTCAGGAATTGTCTACTGAAGGAGTGGTGACTCTTACGTCAGTCAGTACCATCATGATAAGTGTTGCTTGCCAAGTATTTGGTATTTTCTTTCCATGTACTTGAAATCTTCTGCTGCCTAAATCTTGTTTTTCAGTCTTTTGGTTGAGAATTACCAGAAGTCAGTTTTTGGAGCTACTAGACTTCAGCCGGAGGAAAGGTTTTGTACAAATAAAATTTCATTTTACAGGAAACAATTAATTTTCTACTTTAGAAAATTAGCAGTGTTGTGTGTTTCCAGTTCCTGATTAACTTTCTAATTTTGGTTGATTTGGAGCAATTTGTCAAAAAGGCAGATGTACTTTTCCTGTAAGTTCCATGAAACTGAGCTGGGGCAGGAGGGGGATCTTAGGAATGCTAAGAGAAGACAGTGAAATGGACTCATGTTACAGGCATGGAAGAGTTAACACTAATAAATCTATCTTTAAAAATGTCCCAAAGATAAGCTGTGGTCAAATGTAATATATGAAAATCTAGCATTTGAGCCAGCATTCTCAGGATGAGATGTTGAGGTGGTCAAAGCTCTGGATTTTGGCAAAATAAAAGTAATTTTAACAGGTTTCTGTGGGGATTAAAAAAAAAAAGAGAATTCTCCTTAGCTGCAGTAAGCCTCTGTAGTTATTCATGTGTTTGCTTTGCCAGCTGTAGGAGCTTAGGTGCTGTCCAGTATCACCAGGGACTGGTGTCTGCATTTCTGTTCAGGTAGGTGTTCCAAGAGAAGCCAGTAGAATCTTTGAATTCAACTATTCTATGCAAAGTTATGTTAGTGGTTGTCTCAAGTATTTTACATTTTTACAGGTAGTACCTCAGAAATACTCCATTGCTGTCTGCTTCATATGGCTGTAACACTGTCAGTGTTCAAAATGTTTCATAAATTTAATTAATCTCAAAGACACTCCTGTACACAAAACAGATGGAGTTTTTTTTTCCAGTTATTTGAATTGCTGTGTAAGTTCTCTACTTCCATCTTTTTTTGCTTCTGTTCATTATCTATAATGTGAAATACATTCAGTCTGGTTGGTAAAACTGACATAATAGGTGCAGGTTCTGTAGTCCTTTCTAGTGGAATTCCCCCAATTTATTATTACTAAAAACCCAAACAAAACCCACATAATTATTCAGAAACACAGTTCTTAATCATGCTAAACAAGCCCTTGAAAAAGGAAGGGTTTTGCCAATTTTATTTCACAGCGTTTCCCAGGCTACATTACAGGTGGTGTAACAGAATATAAATATGCTGCCAACGTGAGACAGAAACCTTCCTTAAAAACACAACAACTGAAATCTGCTGTGTCAGTGGAGATGTATTTGTCTGTCACTTTCTGACCTTGCATTTTTTGGTAGAATTTTCGTAGTCTAATTGTGCATTGGACTTTTAAAGGAAATTAACCTTGTGCAGGCTAATGAAGATCCATACCCTTAAACTGTGTGTACTTTATATCCCTGTTTGGAAAAGAAAGAGAAATTAAGTTACAGAATTAATTTAAAACTTTTGATTTTGGGTACTGTTTTTGTTCAAATGAAGAAAAGATCTGTCATCAGAATAGTCAAGAGAGCATTATCAAGCAGCAAAGTTAGATTATTTAACGTTCTTTTGCATTCTGGAAATAGTATGCTCTAGGTAGATGCTTATGGTTGTCAGAAGGTGTAAATCAGGATGGAGATGGGTTAATTGTTGATAAGGGGCAACTTAAGATCATTATGCATTAAAAATCTATTATTGAATTAAGTTAAAACTATTCATTGTTAATAATTTATCGTGGTATCGACACAAATCTGTACATTTTCCAATCTCATGCTTTATTACAAATACTATTGGCAAATATTTTCAGCATATACATCATAGCTAAAAACCCACAAAGGAATATATAAATTATGTGTAAGTAGTTGAAGCACAGTATGAAGGGGAGGAAGTGGTCTAGAGGACAAAAAAATGCTCGAGAGAAGCACAGTCTGCAGTTATGAATTATTTCATATAAATATTGCCTATGGCATGGATATTTAAAGGGGGCGAAAAGCCGAATATATTACACGGAGCTCATATCACCCGCTGTGGGGAGCGGTTCCGAGAGGAGGGACGCAACTTGGGAGCCTCAGAGCGAGCCGAATGTTTTGTCCTCAGCGGCCCAGGTGCCCAGGGCTCCCTGGTGGTGAAGAAGGAAGGTGTGTGCTCCCGGCGGTGCGGGGCCGGGGCCGCGGGCACGGCTCGGCTCGGCACGGCTCGGCGCAGCCCCGCAGATGGCGCTGGCCCCGGCCGGCCGGGCCGCGCTCGCTGTGCCGGGAATGCTGATGGGCTCCGTGCACAGCGCCTGCCTTTCAGGTGACTGCTGGCAACCAGATGTTTTTGATAAGATTTTGATAAATGTGTTGGGATCCACTGAGAATAAGGTTTAACATGGAAATAAATAAAAAGCACCCATGGGAGTAATTCTATTTTATTTATATTCCTTAGCTTGGATAGATTTATTTTTTAAAATTTTTGTTCTCGTTCCTTTCTTCTAGCCCTCTTAATAAGAGCATTGGACAATTTATCCCCACGATGAAATTATATGAAATGTTTTTTGCCCTTTTTTTTTTTGAATCTAAAACCTTCAGCAATGCATACAGCACAACTGAATTTTCAAAAGAAAACTCTTTGAAGTCCTTTTTTCTTTTTTCTTTCTTTGTGTCTCTGTCTCCCCCTTTCTCCATCTCTCCCCCCTCCTTCTCTCTGTCTGTCAAGTTCAAGAGCAGCTCAGATGCCATGAATTAAGTGAAGCACAAAAGGGGAAAAGGAGACCCTTTTGAAGAACAAAGGCCTCCCATTAGGCTGCCGTGTTCTTTCTCTGACCAAAATTGCTCCCTACATGGTTTTTATTGCTGTCCACATGCTTGGCACATAAGGTAAATACAGTAGGACCCTCGTTACCTCACACTCTCTCTTCCTCTTCCCCCTTCAATAAATGTTTTGTCTCTTTGATGTCCCTAGTAATTCTTATACTGATTGTTCCCACCCTCATAAAAGCCCCAGGGGTAGTCATGGTGGTGGATAGCATTAGATACTGTGTAAATGCTTCCAGAAAAGAAGACAAACTGCAGCCAAAGAATTTATTTCAGGTGGAAGAGAATGGGAAGGAAATACAGATGTTTTCTTTTCAACATGTTGCCTCTTTGCCCCAGCTACGCTTATATTTCCCAGGGAAGTTCATAATTTCTTCCTGTGTGCTTCAAAAACAAACAAGGAAATAGGGCTAAGTCAGAATTATGAGAAAATGCATGCCACAAGAATTTAAAGTGATAGGAAACTTCTCTTAAGCCTTCTTGATTATTTATTTTTTCTTTGGTTTGGACAGCTCTCTGTTTCAGAGCTCTGGTGAAAAGTACCTGCTAAGGTTCAGACTGTGGTGGATTTCAAAATATGAACTGTGCAGTGCATGCCTTTAAAAAAAAAATCAGTCAGGCCCTTCCTACTGAAGAGAAATTTAAAAATAGCACTGAAATGTATGCATGCATATAAAAAACTTGAACCAGTTTAATATGCTATCTTAAACCTAAAATTGCAATGGAATATTTTAGTACTTGAATGACAAAATTTGCTAATGGTTTCAAAGACATCTTTTGGTGAGTTAATTTTTATGGCAGAATCCTGAAAGGTGAGAATAATTGATGTGAGATAGCATAACGCATGCTGAAGTTTTCTGGAAATCATAAAGTATACAAGTATTTCTTGGAATTTGAAATTATGTTCTTCACAAATAAATTGCATTCTGAGATATTTATTTTGTTATTTGTACTTGTTTTCATCTTCTGGTTCTGCGTTTTCAGTGGCATGAAGTAGTTTCATTAGGTTGTGTAACACAATTTAATATGTAATGATTAACAGAACATGTAACTGTTTTTATTTTTGGCACTGCTTCTTACTGCTACCACCTCATCTCCTGGAGTGTGTGCTTTTATGAGCATCTGCTGTTATGAACATAGTAATTCCAGAGAAAATGTCAACAAGGCTGCTTAAAGAAATAACAATGACTCTTATCAGTCTATTTTGTAGATTACAAGGCAGGGAAAATCCACCTTGAAATCTGACTTTTCATGGAAAGTCTCTTTTTTTTAAGCTTCTTTTTTTTCCCCCATGCTGCATAATAAATTTTAAATAAATTATTGGTTGTAATCACTTGAATATTTCCTCACTCTGTGTGAGCAAGTTTTTGCATACACATCTCTGCAAAGGAATTAAATTTGCTTCCCCATCCTCTTGTAATTGGCCTACTTAGCTTCCTGCTGTGTGTGTGGGGCGAGGGAGGTGATGCTGGCACTTACTGAACTTTCAGTACGTAATTGGCATATTTTGATCCATATTTCATGCAAGGATGGGTCGTCTAAAGTGGCATCTGCACCTTCAGGTGTTCTGGTAGAACGCCCCATAGGTAGCAGTGGTGCATCTGCTCGTGGTGGATGTGGGTGCTGTGATTAATGGCAGTGGCTACAGCTGCCTGAGTATGGAAGATGAACCTTTGTTCTACCTTCCCCCTCCCTCTTGCCATGCCCCATTTGTCATGTAGCCTCTCCTGTTGTCGTTTAACCTATGTCCCCTTGCTCCGTGGAGCTGTACCTGCACTCATCTTCCCCAGCCTCACAAATCTGTGCCAGACCCTCCCTTCCCCTCTGCCTGTGGGCATGGTTCTGTTCACAGGTCAGAGCAGATGCTCACCCCGGTCCTGGGCAGCAGATGCAGGACCAGGCTGTGCCAGGGTGCTCATGGCTGGAAGCTGAGCCAAGGGAGAGGAGGCACAGCTGCTGCAGCCACAGTTTAGCCACAGCAGTGGCTGGTTTGTGTTACCTACCCTCCAAGAGCACTGGGATGCTTTTGTGGGGGGCTGGGACAAGTCTGGGAGCCACTGGATTCAAAGGCTGCATGTTGGGCAGAGTAAGAGGAGGACTTTGTGAGGGAGGTGGGGCTGTGTTGCACAGAATCACAGAATTAATGAGGTTGGAAAAACCTTTGAGATCCTTGAGTCCCACCTATGGCCTAACCACCCCCATGGCGCTGAATGCCACATCCAGTCTTTTCTGGAGCACCTCCAGGGATGGTGACTCCAACAGCCCACTCCAATTCCCTGTCCCTCTTTCTGTCAGGAACTCCATTGTGTCCAGCCTAAACTCCCCCTGGTGCAGCTCAAGGCTGTGTCTGTCCCCTAGTCTGGTTGCTGGTTTTCTGGGAGAAGAGAACAATGTCATGCAATTAAGTAACATGATTTTAATACTACTTGGAATTTCTATGAGGATGAATAAGAACTAAAATATAAATCAGCTTTACCGACACAATAAAAAGTGAGTGTCAGCTTTGAGTATTCCTTTCAGCAGTAGTAAAATGATTTTCCTGGGCATGTCTTGTAGGTAACTTTTATTGAATTCCATCAGATTATTATTCCTTATACTTTTTCTTTAAGAATATGTAATATTCACCTGAAAGAGAACATTGGGAATTTTCAATTGTATGTCTGCACAAAACAGACTCACAGCCTGAATTTTGAGCTTTACTTGACAATTTCTGTATAAAGACCAGTGATATAGTAGACATAAAAATCTGGTGGCTTCCATTGAAGACTTGTTGAAATAAGTAATGAAAGAATGTTTTAGCAAGAGGCTTAGTTTTAATTATTCAAAAGTCTGTTCCTTTCTTACATAAGAACTGCAAATTTGTGAGAATAGTACCTAGTGCCTTGGAAACACTGCACAATGAAAAACACTTAGATTGCTACTCTCGAAATAAGCTGAACATTTTAAAGAAATGATGATGTCTTCAGAATGATTTTATTTCTTTGGCACTGATGCTGCTGGAATTTTCTCAGGTTTGTCTTAATTTTGAACTCCTAGATGTTGAGGAAAGGCTTAACAGAGCTCTGAAATGTGAGGTTGGTTATTGTAATCATTGAATAGTCATATTCACAGTGTAAATCCAGGATAAGAGGTTCAGTACATCATCTGTTTATTCCCCAAGGACTAATATTTCTTACTAGATTCCTAGTAGAGCCTTGAAGCTGTGTAACTACTCTCATCTTCATCACACAAAATGTAAAATCTCTTGAGGTAAATAAAATTTTCTGCTCTTATATTCTTTCATTTGCAGACAACAGTAAGCAAGACTCTTTGTACTTCAGGTTGTAGTGTGCATTCTGAGTTCTCTGCCACTGGCACATGCTCTTTTTTACTAGCTTGCTTTAGGTTATAATACAGAGATTATTCTTTTTATGTTTTCATTGCTTGTTTCTTGTATTTAGCATTTTTTTCAGGCAGCAACATAAAATGGAAACTTGTGCAAAAAAGGTTGTGTTGTATGTTGAATTTTGAACACTGAGTAAAACTTTGAAAATGTATTACCCTTCCTCTGCAGTAGGAGATTTTGCATACTGACAATTGATGTTTTCCTTTCTAGGGGCTAAATAAAATGTTAAATAAATCAGAAATTGTTGTGGCAAAATCCATTCAACCACATTCAGTAAAGAGTGTTCTCTTTTGGGTTAATTTCTCAGGCTGTAGTGGTTTAGGAAATGATGACCTGTTTTGCCATGATGGTGTGGCCTACCCTGACTGGCCATTAGAGGAGAGGAGACAGGAATTTACATGCAAGTGACCTTATGGTAACCACTTGCTCTGAAGGACATTAAATTATTCTGAAGGCTAATCTAAATTATTCTGAATTATTTTGTACAGCTGCAAGCACACAGCACTGGCAACTGACACACCGTAACTTGTGCTGCTGGAGACCTGGCCTTTTTTTTTTTTTTGTATATAATTTTTGGATAAGGAGTCTTGTGCTGATTTTTGGATATGTGTGTAGCATTCAAGTTGGGGAAGATCCATTCTCAGGTGAAGATTTTAGATATGGAGGACTTCATAAAATGTAGCCCTGAGATGTGAGGTATCTACACTTTCTCCATGGCTTAGATTAAGGGACCACTCCCCTGATTTTTTTCTGAGATACCTACAAACTTATATGAGCATATATTGTAATATTGTATAGAAACAACTGTGAGTATTCTTGGTGAGGTCTAGAGAGTTGTGTAAATGGCTTTTTCACTTCAGAGCTATTGTATGAAATTTGCTATCTAGGATTAAGCCCTCTGATCCCAGATTCTGTTTCTGGTCAGAGTACCCACACAGGAGGAGAGCAGCCTTGCAGTACTCAATTTTACATTAAAGTCTCATGGATATCTTCCATATCCATACTTGGAGAGCTTAATTAACAGAACTAATTACTGTTCCAGATAGATCTACATGTCCCAGTGCAAATTAACATGGATTTTAAGAAAGTAGAAGGGAAATGAAGCTGTCATGGTGTGTGGCTGCTTATCAGCTCTTGAGTCTGTTTTAGGAGTGCTCGCTGAAGGCTCATGTGATCCTTGGCAGCTGAAAAGTGGTGTCCAAGGTTGTGCTTGGCATTAGGAGAAGCACAGAAGCCCTTCCTGAGGCCAGGCTGCTTTTCCTTTTTCCTGCCTCATAGCCAGAGTGCGGCTTTGCTTTGTCTTCCTCGGGAAAATTGCTGCTGCTGCTGTTGGCTGTGTGGGTTTGTTCTGCGGACACGGGCTGGGAGTCTCCGGAGGAGAGAGACTCGCAGTTGTAATCTCTCCTTGCCTTGCCTCTGGTCAGGCAGCCGATTGTTTTTCTGGTTTGGTTCCTCCGGGTGGCATCTGTCTTCAGGAAAAATTTCCTTACAGCCAAGTGTGGGCTGCTGAACTGTGGCTGTCTCAGCGCCACTGTTTCTGACTGCTACGCTGAATTAATTATGTGAGCAGTTATGGTGTAGGTGCTGGAAATATTTGTGGCTGTTCAAAATGGAAGAGCTGCTCTTAAATTGATTTCTTTGTCATCCTCTTGAGCCTTTATTGTTTTTTTTTTTTTAC